CGATTTGGAATCATATTTTTAAATAAAATAATATATATATATATATATATATATATATATATATATATATATATATATATATATATATATATATATATATATATATATAAAGGTAAATGAAATATCTATATATTTTATGCCCGACGGTGTCGGGTAACCAACGGAAACATAAGTTGCACGCCAAACGTATGTATATGTATATTTATTATTCATACATGTTTCATTAAATAATATAGACAAGTGTTGTCTATTTATTTTATGTAAATTCTTTTCATCATTTTCGTCTGATAAGCTTAATAACATTATCATTAAACGAAGCAAGAAAATCACAATATTGATCCATATTTTTTAATCCAATTTAAGCTTTCGGCTTACATAAGCCATTATCAAAGATGTCAATTACTGTACAACATCTTAAGCAATATAAGGACAAGACAGTGATGATAGTGTGTTATTGCTTACATGGATGATTTCCAAGCAATGATAAACACGTGCATATAAGACGCTAGAAGCGAAAATCGCGCCGCAGCTCATGACGTGACACATGACCACGCGAGAGTGAATTCGAGAAGTATTAAGTATGGGAAGCCGTTGGTATAAACCAATGGCTTCTGTTACCAATTATAGACATTTAAGAATATTTGTAGAGATTCCATAGTTGATTTTGTTTAGGTTAGGTTTCAATTGTTTTATCTGTATAGCTTCAAGAATTTTTAGTTTTTGTTTATTGTTTTCATGTTTAAGTATAATTGTGTTTTCGACAAGGATTTTACGGAAGTGTGTGCGGTCAGGCATGTTGTTAAATGCCTAAAAATGTTAGAGTTTTCATTCAAATGTAGTGTCAAGCGTCATGAAAGCGAGTTTGTGGTGTGACATTATTTATATATTTATTAATATATATATATATATATATATATATATATATATATATATATATATAATTTAATTTAAAGAAAAAACAGACCACTTTTAGGCTCCACTATAATAATTTATTTCACCAGAGAATTTTATTTTTCTCTGGATCTTCAGACTTCACTTTCAAAAGGTGAAGCGAAAAATGAATTTAAAATTTACACTTTTGACGGGTATTATTAAGCTTATATAAGTTGACATGGAGGGTGGTGAGGGATGGTATGAGAGACATAGTCGAGGTTAGAGATGGAAGGGAGAGTTTTAAAATTTCTTTTTATATTTCTTTTTATTATCATACGTAATATTGAGGATGGTGGGGGTAAGGATCAGACATTGACGTATTTAATCAGTCACCTCAACGGAAATGATATGAGAAAAGGAAAAGGAGAAAAAAAAAGGAAAAGGAAGAAATGGGGAATTAAATATATATATATATATATATATATATATATATATATATATATATTCAAAAATTATAACATATGCATATTATAACCTCACTACAAAAACAGCAATTTTGTTTCAATACTTCTGGTGTTTTGTCAAGTGATAGTGTTGGTTGCAAAATAACGAGGCTAAAAAGTTCAAAACCAACCAATCCCCCTCAATAGGGGAAACATTGTTGCATAACTTATGATGACCAATCTGAATACAAGTATATGGTAATCCCAAAAACATTACCATGGACACAGAATACAATGTGTTAGTGCATTAAAGTTAAGATTCCATTAAATCTAGAAATCAACATAAGCAAGTTTTAATTTTACAATAAAATTAAAAATTAGTAATTTTTTTTTTTTAACCGAGCATCAAGTTTAAAATTATTACAAAATTATTCGGAAATGAAACAGGATACATGTATGGAACTATAAATATATATAAATCTAACTCCCCTCTTCATCCTATCCCAAATCCCCACTTCAGTTTATCAATTAACCAAAATCATCAAACAACTCATTTTATTTACCAATATCCCGGTTAGAGAAACGATTGATATAATTATAAAGTATATATATATATATATATATATATATATATATATATATATATATATATAATTTATTTATTTATTTATTTATTTATTTACCTGGTGAAGGGATACACAGGAAAATGATTCTTAATTAGAAATACTAGACATTTTTGTAATGCCTCATTGTCCAGTTTGGAAATACAAATACGATTATCAAATGCCAAATAGTTATCAGTGATGAGACAGAAAAAAAAGAAGTTTGTCTATTGGTTTGCTGGGGTTTTAATAACACAGGAAATAAACTAGACAAAATAAAAGCTACCTTTTTATTTGACACTAAGTCATTGGGTAGATAAAACCAATATCTTCATTGTATTCAATAAATCTGATGACAATTCAAAAAATACAACAAATACTCAACGACAACACCAAATTTTAAAAAAGTCAACAAAAATCCTATAAACCAACTGAAACTGAAAATCAACAAACTAATCACAACCAACAATGCAGAAGGCGACAACTCAAAACTTTCCAAAATAATTGGTGACTAAAAACCAAGATACATTTATGGAACTATAAAAATATATAAACCTAACTCCCCTCTTCGCCTTATCCCAA